AAGAAGTCTCGGGGCAGGCGTTTCTTTTCTCCCATAAAAAAAAAAAAAAAAGTGCAAATGCTATATGTAACGATTATTTCATCTAAGCTCTCTCTGGCTCACCTCTCTTTCATTCATTCTTGTGTGGGGAGTACTCAATTTAGTAGACAAAGAGACTTATACAAAAAAATATACAGTATCATGATTACTGTACTGGTGTCAGATTCAACCATACATGCAGTACCATTAATCTTATGTGTCAATTAAATTACTATCATATGAAACATTAGCAGTTAGCAATTTTGTATAATGCTTTAGCATAGTGGTGTAAGTTCGTATTCAATATACCAACAGTTTCAATGAGAATTGGTTCCAGCTGCAAAATTGTGTCAATAATTAGTTGGTATGACACCAGACAGATAATGCCAATTTTACATTCTCAATTGCACTGCTTAAGTTTTCTGGGTAAACAAATCCAGCTTTAAACCTCCAAAACAACCCTTTTCTTCTTACTTGTTGAAGAGTATAGTCTTTTGTTCAGGTTAATAACAAGTTGACATTGAATCTTAACTGCATTGAAAACTGAAATCAGACAACCAAAGCTAGCATGAGAGTCTCCTGCATCTGAACATTAATATTCATTTGAAAAGGGTGAGTATTTCTTTATTAAAACCGAATTAATCGAACCAAAAAGAAAATTAGATTAATTCGATTTATTAATTCAAAAATAAATATAATTATTAAAAATTAATTTGATTGGTTTGAAAATGTTTCTTTGATTAATTATCAAATTAACCACTTTGAGTACAAACCGTTTATAAGTTATAAGATATATAATAATATAAACGTATTATAACAATATATTTTTAATATGATAATCATATAAAAAATTGGATTATTAATCAATTTAATTCAATTAATTAAAATTTTAATTTAGATTGATTCGGTTAATTCATTTTAAAATGCAGGATTGAGATGATCATGGCTCATGGCACCAAACGTTTCTGAGCATTCCACTGTACGGCTGGAAAACAATAACGCACGAAATCTCCTTCAAATTCCTTTGATTTGTGATTAAAATACGATGGAAAGAAAAGAAAAGAGCTATGGCTGAAGGGGTGGTGGATTCTATTTTTAGGTAATGGGCATGTTTCTTTTCTTTTTCACCATATCTGATCAGATTCAGGCCTTTTAAAAGGACATAAAAGGCTGAAAATAAAGTAGGAATCTAAATACACAAAGGACCCAAAATGAATTCTTACCTTTGAACTTCCACTTTTGAATCATTATTTGCTTATAATTCAAAAATCAATTGTCAGCCATAGAAACAGGTCCCAACACTAGGCATTTTGAGGCAAACAAATTGCAGTAATATTCATTCTCCACCATCACCATTAAAGGAGAAAAATGGGCATGGGTAATCCTAATTCTCCACCACCATTTTAAATTAATATAATGAAATTGGTGGGCGTTATTAGAAAGTAGGAAATGAAAAGGGTAAGAGAGATGCCTTAAAACCTTTTGAATGAACAAGAGGAAGTTTAGATAAGGATGTGGATGTGGATGTCTGTGCCGTCAACTTGATTCTATCTTTTTGGCCTGAAATGCAAAGCAATCCATATTTGTAGAATCCTGAATTTCTACACCCCATGACGTGTGAGCTCTTATCCCCCATTGCCATAACTTTGATATAAAATCCCCAGCGATTGACATTCCTTCTGTCTCAACAACTACTCTCTCACATTATTCGGTATGGAGGATCAAACCCAAAAGAGGGCTTTCGACATGGGAGCCTTGAGGAGCAGCCTTCCCCAAAAGTAAGGATTTGATTTGGTTTGTGGCTAAACATGTTATTTCTATCATTAGAAAACAAAAACGAATTAAAATGTTTGATGATTCAACATGATGGGCAACCTTTGTTGTTCAGCAGGAGAGGGTTGTCGAGGTATTACTCGGGAAAAGCAAGATCATTCGCGTGCATTGCAGATGTTCGTTGCCTCGAGGATCTCAAGAAACAAGAACATCCCGATGCGAAGAAAAGGAAGAAGTATTCAAATAAGAAGGAGATGCAGCTTTACACTCCTTATCCATGTCGAAGAGTATCCAGTTGCACTCATTGCGCTGCACCTTGCATTGGCGTGTAAATATATCTGCTATCCGATTGTGTACATGAGTTCACTTTACTTTAATCAAAAACGAAGAGAGTTTTCAGTTTCGCATTACATCCATCTGCAGAATGCAGGAATTGCTTAATAACAATAATAATTAAGAATTACCTTTCTTCTTGACTTCATGCCTGGTGAATATGGCAATGCATTACATTCATTGCTGCAGGCTGAGAGTCAAATGGAATCATCCCTGAAGCATGCCAAAGAACCACGATCGGGAACCTGTAGAAAGAAGTTCATTGTTTCCAGTAATCAAACGAAGCAGTTCCCATTTAGTTCCGACATTGATTTCATTTCACATTGATGTTCAAAGAATTCTGAATAGTCGCAACGTTACAACCCTCTGTTAATCTAAAACTAGGAGGAATACACATTGTAGCTACGCTTGTAAACCACAAAAGGGGAATGGACGTAACAATTAGTAACATCTAACCAAAGCAACATACTATAGACTCTGTCCTAACATAATAACAATTATGGCCTCCAAAAGAATCACCATTTTAACCTAATGATACAAAATCAGAGGTAAGATGCTGTCCACAATCAAGATGATGTCAAACCTATTACAACCTTTTCTTCTTGGTGAGTGATTCCCAATCATCAGATATCATGAGTTCATCATCCTCATCATCAACATCAAGCTTTTCGAGTTGATTGTGATTTCTAGTTCCATCAGAAAGGCCTGAATGATCTGGAGTGGTGCCTTTCGAAACCTCAGACAATTTTCTTTTCGTCCCAGTAGCAATTGCAGTCACCTCTGAAATTTCCTGAATTGTAACGTCCTTCTTGGCCTCCAGACTCTCCTCTGCTGGTACAGCATTGGATGTACTTTCACCATTTCCAATAGGTTTATCCTTGTCCTTATCCACAGGAGGTTCAACCCATCCAGAGAGAAGCATTCCATCAGGTTCCTTCTCCTCATCAAATTCTTCCCTGCGAGAATAAAGAGTAAATTTCATAAATCACTCTTAATATTTGAGGACAAATGCCCAAAAGCAGGATAACAATTGATGCAACTTCCATTGACAATACAAGCATCATGTATAAAATTTACACGCTGGCCATATGACAATCACAGAAAAGCAAATTAGAGAAGGCATTCAGAAACAAATGAAGCACATATAAAACTACCAACTTTGAGATCAGCCTGTACTCATCATGTGACTTAATAACAAGAAGATGTCTAGTCTAATTATATGAGTAATGTCAAGAATCAGTTGAGATAAAAAAAAAATGAAAAAAACAACCAACCTTATTAATTGACATGCAATCACCAAAACAGATTATTTTAGCTAAATAAATTTTCTGTGATTTTTTATGTTTTAACCAGGGAGTAAGATCTATATGCCAGAAGCAAAAGATGTAACCACTATACACACAAGTACACCACAGAAAAAAGACAGGCAAAAAGGAGAAATTAATTTGATGAAGCCAGTCAAACGTTCATCAGATATTTTTAAAGAGCCTTCTAGGGACATAACAGAAAAGGATTTTTAAATTTTTTACATTCAGATAATCAAGGTAAAGACCAACCTATGTTTGATATTGATATTACAAGAGAACTCCTGCTGAAGATCCTCTACAGTAAGCACAGTCCCACTGGTAACTGGAGAAGGCAGCTCAGATAAGGCCTGTGAAGTGAAATAAATCACAATTATCGCACTTTCTTTTGTGCCAAAGTGTAAAAGAAAAACACCTGTAATTTCAAGATTTTGAACCCAGAAGTAATTGATTGCAGAAAGACAGCAAATTTATATTGAAATATTTTATTTAAAACCGAGGAAAGGGGGAAAAATTTACTTTCTCAAGGTTTGCAGCATAAATTGCTACCATATCCTCTTCAAGATCTTCACCAACTTCATAAAGAATACTTGCCCCTAGCATAATTAGTGGAAAGTTCATGCCAAGTTTGGCTTTAACAATCTTTTCAACGAAATCCCGCAGCTTAGAACGATGAGTATTAACCTCAAGTGATAGTGGTGTCTGTTTTCAAGATATTACACGTAAGTGTGATATGAAAAATTTACAAAGGAAATTCCATTCAGACAAGCATTTTAGATATACCTCTGAACAAACATAGCAAGACTTGTTAGGTTCATAGGGTTCCACAGGCATAAGAAGCATCTTTCTTGAAGGATGTTCTAGACAATATGTCATCCTGCATGGGCGTCCAAAACAGATTAGAGCCAAAATACAGCATAATTATCATAAAAAAGCAATTTGCACTCATGAAGGATTGAGATGAGAAGTATAATTTTGAACAATGACAATGACCGCTATATATTACTTTGTACTAAAATGAACATAATAACATACACTCAGTACTTACAACAAAACTGAACTACATAATTACTTTGTATTTAAATACCAAAAATATTACAAGAAAACAAATTGAATAGAAAAAAAAAAGAAACTGAACTAGACCTGTAATTGTTGCTATCCTTTATTAAAACCTTAATTGCTTCAATCACGATCAACCCAGCTATGATAGCATTTGTTGTTGCAACAGCATGCACGATATTACCAGCAATACCTTTAGCTTCGAAAAGACTATGTAAAGGAATCCCAAAAGAAGAAGCACGAATATTTGCAGCAGCAGTAACAAATTCCACAGCCAATTGATCATCTTTATCAAAAGTCAGGTTCCCTATTTCCTGTCAAATAGTAAAATAAATCAGTCTAACTTGGTAGGAAGAAATGATCATTTAGTTTTTCAAAAGCAACAGATCAACATTGACCTTTTCCCTCTTCAAGAAAAATAATCTCAAAGCCTCAAGGAAAACTCTTGAATTTTCTCCAAGGCTCCATACATCCTGAGGATTTTTCAAGCCCAGAGATACCATGGCAGAGACGTCATCAGTTACACAACCTTTTTCCATGTTTCCATTCTGTTCAGATAGTTTCTCGGGCAGGACATCCTTACTATATATAGGCCGTGGTTTGTTACGGTTTTTCCACGTTTCTTCATTAGACAGAGCCAATTCTATGTTATGACCAAATACATGATCATATATTCTTCTTCCATATTGTTCGATATCTTCATCTTTTCTATATTCAAATACATCTTCTGAATGTTCTGAAGAATTTGCAGCATCATTAGAGCGCACATTCAAATCATTTTCTAGATTCTTGTCCCCAAACAACTTTGCAAAAAGCAGGTCCTTTGCCCACACAATACAATGAACAAACTGCAAATCAAACAATATGATTAGAAATTGTGGCATAGCAATTTCTTGGCAAACAACAAATAGATTTAATCATCATAATTCTAGCAACACTACCAGTTGCTACAAGCAAATGAAATCCCACCCTACCCCCACCCAAATAAATATCTCTCAGCTTAATGAATGATTACCTTCGACGGAGTGCTTGTAATTGTACATACAGGATAAGTCTTTGGGGCAGGTTTTGGCTGACATTCATAGCATTCTGTTTTTCCCTTCAAATGTACAGTGACCTGCATCCAAGATAATTATAATCATACAAAATGGTCATCATCAGAACCATTCAGACAAATTAATAACATAATGCTGAAGCGAAGCAAAAAAGAGAAGGGGAGTGACACCAGAAATATAATTTTAGAATGTGTATAAGAGATATAGTGCACTTGACAAGCAATAACACGAAAGTTCAAGTTTTTTAAGTCAAATAACAAACAATTTCAGTAGTCAAACATAGCCCCGAACTCCAAAGAACCCTAATCTTCAGAACCTTAAGCAATCATAAGATTAAGTTACTAAACAAGTACAAAGAGAAACAAAAGCAAATACATGCACATGCTAAACTAGAAGTAAAGGAACATTTTACCTTTGTTTTACTGAATTAAATCGCTTAATGCACTGCATGAACTTTTACACTAGTCAAATTTGAGGTTCAGACCAAGAAAACCGGTAACTTTTTTTGCCAATGGAGAAACAGCAACCAATAAACTTTCAATCATATTTCAAAGATGTATCCCAGCATTGATAATATTTGTATAGGACCCATTTGCTAAAAAATTTTATGAAGCAAGCCTTCAATAGCACTTACCAAGAGAAACAAGCTCCGTCCAAACAGAAACTTAAGATGCTACGGGAATAGGATAGAAAAGGTCACCTGTTCTAGGAGTGAGTTCCTTCAATGAGTAATTCTTCGCATAAAATAATGGAACTTCAGATTATTGGTTATACAGCATGTAAGATCAAAATAAATTTAGTGGATTCGTACATGCACAAACTAAGAAAAATTAGACAAAGCCTGACCATGAGCAATCCACACATGCAACCTAGTTACAAGATGAGAATCAAAAGATTAATGCTAAAAGACATGTAAAAACCTAAATTACCTGTCCCAAGAACCCTGTGGTCCCACTTTCAACCAATGGTACATCAGCTGCCAGGCAAAGACGGTTCACATGGCGCCTTGCATCTAAATTATCCAGCCCATTCAGAACAACATCAAACTCTTTAAAGAAATCCACATTGAAGCGAGACTCCTTAACATTTGCATGGTATGGTGTAATGCTTATATTGGGCCTGACCCTTAAGACTGCATCTCGAGCAACCTGATCAAAATATGGATGAACTATAAACCATCAACTTATAAATTCCAATGCAAGCTAACAAGGAAAAATGCTTTTAAATGTACTTGCCTTGGCCTTAGACTGCCCAACATGGGATTGTCGGAACAAAAATTGTCTATTCAGGTTGCTGACTTCTATAGTGTCCATGTCAATCTACAAGCAGATAAATATAATTGCATGAATAAATAATTTCCAAAATAAAATACCAATTACTTAAGCCAGTAAGTTAGATGCAAACAATCGAAAAACAAAATACCAGCTCAAGCCCCACATGATCAACTTCACTTCCAACACATAGTAACTAACATATTTTAATAATACTAAATAACAAAGGAAACAAAAATTTTTACAGCCATCAAATTTCCAAGTAGAATGATGATACCCAGGTACCATCCTTAGCACCACCTCCACCTATAGGATTGATGCATTTGTAACTAGCACCCAAAACATCAGTAGCTTATTATCAGCACTTAGCACAATCTTAGA